TCACGGATGATGCTTTTGTTTGTTTCCCGTTTGCAGGTTTTTTTTTTTTTTTTGTTTCTAGCCGTTATTGGGTTTTGAGGACATTTAAATTCTTGGATCCAGAGGGCGTCACTCGTTAGTCCCCCGCCTACAGGGCTGGCTTGGACTTTGGGGGTTATGGTTGGGACAGGGCAAGGCAACACATACAGCCCGTTGAAGGCTGCTGAAAGAGTAGGAAGACAACACTGACCCCGTACATAGCAAATAAATACAAATACCTACACTAATAACCTAAGCAATCACGTCCTTATTGAAACAGTGAAGGAGATGATGGCCTTTGCACAGACGGAACCGACAATCGTCTTGGTCTGACCGACGCACCCCATCCACTGTTACATGAGCATCCTGACTGTCCATTACTGCGATGTTGTGTGTTCCTGGCTTTCCATTGACGGGCAAATCGCACAACGGCAAAGCTTTTGTTTGTTTCCCGTTTGCAGTTTTTTTTTTTTTTTTGTTTCTAGCCGTTATTGGGTTTTGAGGACATTTAAATTCTTGGATCCAGAGGGCGTCACTCGTTAGTCCCCCGCCTACAGGGCTGGCTTGGACTTTGGGGGTTATGGTTGGGACAGGGCAAGGCAACACATACAGCCCGTTGAAGGCTGCTGAAAGAGTAGGAAGACAACACTGACCCCGTACATAGCAAATAAATACAAATACCTACACTAATAACCTAAGCAATCACGTCCTTATTGAAACAGTGAAGGAGATGATGGCCTTTGCACAGACGGAACCGACAATCGTCTTGGTCTGACCGACGCACCCCATCCACTGTTACATGAGCATCCTGACTGTCCATTACTGCGATGTTGTGTGTTCCTGGCTTTCCATTGACGGGCAAATCGCACAACGGCAAAGGGCCCGATAAGCCCAAGCGGGAAGTCTATTTAGCGGGTGGCGATGCGCGTGGCTTGACGTTATACAGGCAAGGGGGATAAGGGGCTATCTTTAGATTTCTCCGAATTCAACGTGGATGATGTGAGGTGGAGAAGCGGTGCATCCGACGCCTTGCTATTTATTTTCATTCATATCGCCTGCTCATCGCATCGGGTCGCGGATCGCGTGGGACAGGCAGCTACAGTGTTGCAGCAGGAACTACGTTCCTTTGCCAAACCACACAAGAGGCAAGACACTTGTGCTGTGAAGAGATGAAACCTTTGGATGTGCCAACAATGGTACCTTCGTATCCGAGGAGCAAACACACGGGGCTAACACCGCATGGGGGCTTTTCCAACATGGAATCGAGAAGTTCTTTGTACAACGGAATCAAAGCCTTGTCTTTTACAAAACGGCTATTCCCGCTGGGCAGCACGTTCAACCACTATGTACTTGACAAAGCGCAACGGCGGTTTGTGCATCGGACTCCTTGTCGTCTGTCCCTTCACTCGCACAGAAAGAGATGCAAGAAGAAAGCACAGGTGTTTTCGTCAAGAGGCCCAGGCGACGAACTTGTGGCGGTAGGCGGAATTCACGGCCGGACGGTTTAGTTGGCTTTGGACCATGAACGCGGCTGTCGGGGAAGTGCTACTGTGTTTTGTACGCCGAACGGCTTCGCTGCAACGCAGCCTGAGCAGCTTTTGCCTGGCCCGGGCGTCGGGGGAAATGGTGGTGCTGGGAAACATGCAGTCCCAACACAAAAGGCGATGCGTCGCGTTCTACGGCACCCTGGGGAGCCAATTGCTGGAAAGGCTTGCAAGACAGTGTCGACGAACTGTGGCAGCTGGCCTGCGGAGGGTGTGAGCGTAGACACGTCACCTCGTAGACAACGGCCCCTGGTTCAAGCAGAATCCAGTACAAATGCTCCTAGCTGAGGCCGAGCAGGGCTAGGGGACGCAATTGCTGGGGAAGAAGGGGGGAGAAGGGGGAAGGCCTCATAGCGGGCGGTGCGGCGCGGCGCGGCGCGACCAACGACTGATGGGCTGCTTGTGATGCATGGAGGTTTGAACATTGATGGGACAATGCCGCGGGGACGGGACCTGGGGGTGGCGGGTGACGCGGTGCGTGGTGGTATTTCTGCAGACCCAAATCAAGGCGATGCGGGTTGGCGTCGAGGCCATCTGGTGAGTGGCTTCGTGATGCTGCACGTCTGGCAAGCTCAGGCTGGTTGGTGGTGTCTGATCTCATGATGGCTGGCTTTTGTCAGGAGACGTGCAAAAGCAGCACTCGAGGACAGCGTGCTGGCTTGCTACCAAACTTGGCAGTACTAGGCAATCCGAGGCGCAGCACGGACCATTGCATGCATGGGCTACTCTGGAGGCGCAATTCTTACGTTGTAAAGTTGCACATGGTAATAGTGGCAGCCCTGGCTGATTCTATACAGGGCAGCCTTCATTCCGTCATGCAGATGACATGTTACTGGGTTTTGTATCAAGTGGTACTTTGCCCGTCATAACATGGCGTTCCATTCATGAGGACGAGCTGTGCAGCCGCACTCAATGCCCACTCAATAGCAAGGCAAGGATGCAAAGTACACAACGGTGAAATCGAGTCGAGAAGCAGACATTCCCGACTCATCTGGGTCGGTGATGCTGTCCCAACACTTGTCGTTTTTGAAATGCACCGCTACTCGCGTCGCTGGCGTGGGGGCCGGACAAGGATGATGCACCATTGACATGTGTTTGCCGGCTGCTGTATGTTGGGATGCATCGTTGGGGCGGCATCTTGGGCATTGTCTGCTATTTCCGAGCATCAGGTTCGGCATGCAATGGAAGGCTGGGCCTCGAATAACTTGGCAAATATTCGTGGCCGGGGAAGGCATGGGGTCTGCGGCGTGTTGAGGCGAGGTGATATGGATGTAACTGTACCGTGCTTGCACCACCTACTAAGCAGGTACACACATAAATAATGTCTAGTATACGGAGTACCTGGGTAATAATTGGACAGCGTTATTGTCGCCTTGGGGTGAAGAACTTCGTACCCAACAAGTCATTAAGATATCTGCATACTTGACAGCTCGGCCATGTTTGAAAGCGGGGGGGCAAAACGTCGAGAAGACCAGGTATCTTGCTATCGCGCGCTATAGCATAATGTACTATTGTTTGTGAGTGTGTATTTATTGGAAGGCTAATATACTCTGTTGTGGACTATAACGTACTTGACTTGACTCTTGAGTATTTCTAGTCCATCCATGCAAAACAAGAGTTGCAAGCTGACAGGAGCACACAGGTGGATGACCGCGGCTCGCATGAGGATGGATGGTGCCATGAAGTTTCCTTCTTGGCCGTCGTATTGTAGAGTCCCAAATATATCCCTAACCCGTCAAGGCTATTGTTTTGCAGAGGCCATGGCCGGCATGTGCCGCAACGCGGATTGAATGAGGCAGCACAGCATAGGCAGCGGGTAAACTTGGCAGGTCAGCATTAATAAATTGAGGGCGGAGCAGATCTAGCAGACTCATGTGCATGGAGGTGTCAAGTCTGTTGGGCGTGACTGCCGACAGCAGCCAGCGGCCAGCAGGTACCAAGGCAACAAGGCAACAAGGCAAGCAGAAATGGCAGGAACACTGACCCCGCAGCTGCTGTGTCTGTGGTGTCGGCAAGCGCCAGCGAATGATGCCCCGCCCTCCCGCCATCGCCCATAACCGCCTGCACCAACATTCATTCATCTCTGGCCAATCAATTCACACGCTTGGCAGCGACTCGGTTGTCCTGACGCACCATCGTGTCGCAAGCGAAATCTGCAGACGCTCAGTGTCCAGTCGATATTCTCGACCATGTCGATTTTTTTGGTTTTTTTTTTTGCCTTTTCCCAAGCGCCCCGTCAGACTATCCGCAACCTTTTCTTCCCAACCTGTAATTTGGCCCTTGGTCACTCTTCATGCCGTGTCTCCCTGTTCGACGTCTCTTCAGTGACACATTTGCCGCGCAATCGGTGGCCGAGTGGTTTCGACGCCTGCGAGACTGAACACTAGCCAAGGATCAAAAGGAGGCCACGAGGCCACGACGGAACTGGCGGAAACAAAAATGCGCAGCTATGAACGATTCGATTGCAGTGGTGAGCCCATGGCGGCCGGGTGTGAGCAAGATTCAAGAGCTGCGACGTGGTATTGACGGCGGCGGCGGCAAAAACAAGGAATGAACAGTAGCAGCAGCTGGAGTGAATGCATGACTTCTTGGACCTTTCTTCTTGGACTCACGATTTTTGAACTCTTGCCTTCTTCGTTCGCCATGCATGTGTCTTGCAGTGGTCCCGCTGTCCTTTGACCGACCAGTTTCTAGTGAATGGCCTTTCGTCTGCCCATCCATCTTGTCTGTACTACTTCTGAACAAGCAGGACTCTTAATTCATTTGTTCATGGAACTGAATATCAGTCGGATATCGTAGCATCATTTCTATCGGCCCTTTCCTCCTGTCTTTTTACATTTCAACTTTTGTACTATACAACAACGCTTTTTTTTTCCCTCTCTGCGAAATCATTATCAGCACCGAACATATCAGCAACTTTCACCTCGTCACCAAACCAACATATTCACCCGCCATCTACAAACAAAAATCGGCTTTTCCGCTATATATCAGAACGAAACATCGCTTCTCAAATATACGATGACCAGATTGCCTCCGCATCTTCGGCTGCTGCTCCTCGCAGGCGTCGTGTCTTCAAACCCAACCCCGGCGCTCTTCGCTCGCGATACTTGCGCAACAAGCGGGAAAACATCTTGTGCGTCGCAGGGCCTCTCCGACGGGCTGTGTTGCCCTACAAGCAGTGAGTGTGTCCCTCTGGCAGGGAATACCACCGTCATTTGCTGCCCGAGTGATAGCTCGTGTACCAAGATCCAACCCATCACCTGTGACGTGTCCGAACAAGACCCGACATTACATCCAGACGCTCCTATAAAAACCACTGCGCGGGGCGCTCAATTACCGGCATGCGGTAGCAATTTCTGCTGCCCCTTCGGGTATACCTGCTCGGCGGATAGCTCGTCGTGCACCAAGGACTCGGATCAGTCCAAACCGCCCCCGGGCATGACTTCAACATTGACGCCTACGGCCAAGGCAAAAGCTACATCACCTTCAACTTCGACATCGACAGCGCAAGCAGCCGCGGCCACTTCAACAGGGGCGAGCCAAGAGAACAATTCGTCTTCTCTCGGGGCCGAGAAGATATCCATCATTGGAGGGGCGGTTGGCGGTGTTCTCGCGCTTTGTCTCCTGATAGGGATAATATTCCTCTGCGTACGAAGCCGTTCGAAAAAATCTCCCAAGCCCGGGCCATATAGGGAGATTTCTCCACCCATCTTGAATAACCAGGCCGGCCGTGTAGACTTTATTCGAAAGGTGGAAGAAAACACTCCTCCGCCACCAAAGGGACGTTCCTTCATGGACCGCTGCTCTCGGTTTTTAGGACTACCGGAGCGGCAGATGCAAAACACACACTCGGCCATACCTAATCGATTTAACTCGCCTAACCCATCTCTCCAGTCATCGCGCCTGTCACGATCATCCCTGACATCCGAGGACGATCGCAACGCACGCACGGTACATGTCGGCGCGCGTCTGCCACCCATTCGGCAAATGAGAGGCACACACACACAGTCGCGCAGAATCTCGACGCTAGAGGCCTATGATGAGCCCAGCCGGGAGAGCATCAATGTGTTTGCCGACCCCGACATGATGAGCCACCGCAGCGACGGCCGCCATAATTACCGTGGCACAACGTTCAGCGACTTGATGGACCAAGCGGACATGAGCGGTGTTCATCGCAACGGGGGGTACGTGCCTGGAAGCCAGAGGCTACGAGTTCCCGGAACGACACCAAAGTTATGATGAAGACGCCTCCGACGTTGAAAGGTTGTGAGTTTGTGCCATCTTCACAACAATATGAAGACGACAGCACGCAAGTGGGGAGTGACGCCGAGTTTGGCATTTGACAAACGGGCTGTACGATAAAGGGCAATACATGATTGTACATGAAGAGGTAAAAAAAGGTAACGAGCCATTTTGCATCGAAATTTCGTTTGTCTCTGGACTGGAGTTGGAGATCCCCGTGTTGGGCGGTCAGGCTTTTGCTTTTTTTTTTCTTCTTCTTGTTTTCTAATTCTTTGATACTCCCGATAGTAATAGAGGTTGTTGGTTGCACACGTGTGATTCTTTGTCGGGCACTCCATCATTGGGTGATGAAAGGTGTCGACTTGTTTTGGGGCAGGCCTGGCTAGGCGAGTTTGCCTGCAGTGGTTTTCCATCAAAGGCCATTGTGTGAACGTCGCCGACAGGGGCATGCGGACTTGCACATTGCCCCTTTTGATTGTGACCTTGGCTCAAGTGAAGTCGTCCAAGACAATGCTTGCTTTGCAGAACCGAGTATTGACGAAACCCACCGTGACCGTGTGCCCACTTCAAAAGCGCACGCAGTCGACTTCAGAGCTTGTTCGAAAAACGCCAAAACCGCATCCACCATACTGCAGCCCCAGGTGCCCAGGTCCTCGAGCGTCCAGCCGCATAATGCTCGGGGCACCTGTGTGATTTTGCCAAGCACCGACTCGGTCGGATCCAACGGCCACCGATGGTCCGCCGGCTGGGTCAGCAGCGCCGGGCAGACAGACGTCAAGGCCGGGATCTTCCAGCCGGCAATACGATGCGAGGAGGCGCATCGAGTGCCGGCCGTGCGTGACCAAAAAACCTCCCTCGTCGGGCTACCCTCCGTGAAGTGCAAGTCGCACGGAGAGGAAGGAAGGCTTGCATATCCCTCCAGACTCGGGTTGGGGCATTGATGACAAAAGCAGGGTTGGCTACGTATTTTTTTTTTCTGCCCAGGCACTCAACACCAAACACTAGCATCTTACATGACCCATGCAGAGAAATACCCGAGGGCGCAGAATATTAATGCTTTCTAGCATTGATTGTAAAACGACAGGCTATGATACTACAATAACGTAGACGCTATGCAATGGATATTCGAAAACCGCTTCCTGCACTTCCATCCCCGAGCCTTGTACAACGAGAGGTGCCACACCACACGAGCTTTGCTCCAAAATCAAAACCCCCATTGAAAACATGTTCGCAAACGCCCCCAAGCCCAGGTACTCATACAAATGAAATATTAGTCTGACACGACAAGGAAAAACAATCAAAACTCGCTCTTTGCAATGCATATCGTCACATAAGGACACATTTGTTCTCCTTCGGCTTTGATGGTGTGGTTATGTCAACCCATCCGGCACTGTCTGGGACAGACTCCTTCTTCTTCTTCTTGGGCATCCACCCTTTCTTCTTGGCGTCCTTCACATTCTTTGCTGCGCTTCTTTCCGCACGGCTGCGACGTCTGTTGACGCTGTTAGGCGTTCTACGCGACGAGTTTGACGGGGTTCTCATCCACATGGGCAAGGCGTTAGCAGTTGAACGCATGTGAGGAGGCAATGAGGCCGGAGCAGGCTGGTTGTTGTAAATATTCTCCAGTTGCTGCGCAGTCCCCCCCGTCCTCGGGAAGTTGGCAGGTCGCGGCCGTCGTGGAATTGGAGCAAGTATAGGCGTTTCTGCGTGTGCAGAAGACCCTCGCCGTTCAGGCGGATCATGCGATCCAGAAACCCCGGTTGGTGTACTGATGATAAGAGGTCGATCAAAGTCTGCAACATGAAACCTTTCCCTTTCCTCATCCGCAGGAATGGCCGGGGGCTGGCTCTGCGACGGTGAGCCAAGGGGCTCATTCATACTGCGGCCATTGCCCATCCAGAGCTGCGGATTCAAAATATTGCCGGACAGTCGGCGAGGATTGCCCTGACTTATTCTCTTGCTCAGGCTCGCAATCTGAGTGGAACTCGGCGCGGGCGGAAGAGAACCCGCTGCAAAATCGTTTGCAGTGGCGTGCAAAGGCGGAGCAGTGTAGGGATGCCCAGAAAACCGCTGTGATGGGCCCAGGTTTGACTGTGTTCCTGGCTGCTCAACTTGCTTCGGCCACGTTCGGGCGTTGGACAGGCGCCTGACAACTGGCTCTGCTTCTGGCTCAGGAATAATATTCAACGTAGATGTAGGGATACGCAGTTCCAATATTGGCGCTCCGGGCCGAGCTCCGGGCCCAGTGCTGGAACCAGGACTCAAGGGAGCAGCCGCTGATATCGCTGGGGAAAACTCAGTCCATTGCTGGGATGGGGCGGTATCAAAAGAGGCTGCAGCTGACGTATTTCCGCGAGATGCAGGTGACGGCATTTGATCCTGAGGCGCCGCAGGCTCACTAGGGTGCGCAGACGATAGGCGTGGAGAAGCTGGCGGCGACACGTCGTAGATGTCGTCTCCTTGAACTGATAGCATAGAAGGCGAGGATGTCGGGCGAGGTACATCTGGGACCTGCAGTCTGTCAATGTCCGTAGCCTCACTTGTGGTATGCTGATGATGAGCCCGCGTGTATTGGGTCCCATCCCTGGTTGCATTGGCCGACTGCTCCAGGGCTAACGTTAAAGAGTTATTGAGAGTCTCGCCGGTGGAACCACCCGCCGAAGGTGGGAATTTATTCGCATCTGCAGAGTCGTCCGTAGCCGATATTGGCGCCACCGGAGGTCCACGCATAAAGACAGGCATATCACCAGGGTCTTCTTTTTGATAAGGGGGCGGAGGAGGCACCCAGTTGTCGGCATCGCTCTCGTGAGGATGTTCAGTACGGCCGTCGGCCCGACGATACTCGATAGGACGACCATCCGCCGTGCGAGGATTTAGTCGCCGATTCACAGCCGCGGCCGTAGCTGCCCGACGAAGAGTTGTACCGGACCGAGGGCTAGCATGCGCGTAGGGCGCATCAAGAGCCTCCTGCTCCTCCATGGATGCAAATTCTTCCTCAGACTGCGAAGTGGGTGCTGCAGTTCGGCGGTTGATGGGGTGTTGTCCAACCGTCCTTGGGGCCAACGGGTCGTCGTCGTCATTGTCGTTTGCCTTGTTGCCGGGCTGCATTAGACTAGGAAGGGGCTCTCGTCCGGCGGCTGTGGTTGCTGCTCGGAGAAGAGCAGCACTGCCTCCTCGCTTCTGGGCAACGGTTCTTCGTCGGACTATGGCCACCTCTGTTTCTAAATCACGTCGTTCCTCGGCCAGTGGCTCGGCACTGTCCGTTCCCACTTCAATCGTTATTTCTACAGCCTCCCCATTCACAAGGCCGTAATCAAAGTCCAGCAAGACAATACGCCCACCATCAACAAAGTCGATGTCCTCCTCATCTGTCACCAATCTTGGACCCATAACTCCTGTTCG